ACTTGAACTCCTAATACTGAATACTGAATCTAAACATTCAAATGTTGCATTTCTTGAATCAGTGTGGTAATTTATATTTTTTCTGCTCCTTTTAACTTTTTAAAAAATCACTGTAAAATATACATAACAAAATTCATCTTTTTAACCATTTTAAAGTGTATAGTACATTGGCATTTAGTACATTTACAGTGTTGTGCAATATCACCATTATCTAGTTTCAGAATATTTTTATCACCCTGTGGTTTTCACCCCTGTTTTCTGGCACGCTGCTCTTAAAACCCTTGGAGTCTCTGAAGTAATAAGTCTTCTTGTATGCTAATGAGATGACTGTGGTTGGGGTCACCTGGATAGCTTCAGGAAGGGGGCTGGTTGAGAGAAAAACCAGTTTTGTAATTAGAGGGTTGGAACTCTCAGCTCTATCCCCCAAACTTTGGAGGGACTGGAGGTTGACTGAATCACCAGAGGGCAATGATTTAATCAATCCTGCCTATGTAATGAAGCTTCCATAAAAAAATCCCTAAAGTACAGTGTTTGGAGAGCTTCCGGGTTGGCGAACATGTGGAGGTACTGGGAGGGTAGTGTTCCTGGAGAGGGTGTAGAATCTCCACATCCCTCCCCCTATACCTTGTCCTGTGCATTTCTTTCATCTGACTGATATGAGTTATATTCTTTGTAGTAAACTGGTAATCTAGTAAGTAAACCATTTTCCTGAATTCTGTAAGCCAGTCTATCAAATGATTGAACCCCAGCAGGGGTGGTGGGAACCTCCAGTTTATTGGGGTGGAGGGTGAAGGGAGCAGAGGTAGTCTGTGGGCCTGAGCTCTTAATCTGTGGGATCTGATGCTTTCTGCAGAAAGACAGTATGAAAATTGACTTAAATCTGTAGGACACCCAGTTGGTATCCATCAGAGTTGGGAGAATTGCTTGGCACACATTTTGTCACCAGAAGCGTCAGAAGGGAAGTATGTATAGTAGAGTCGTGTTGAGAGGTGTGTTTTTCCTAAACACACCCCAGAGGAAACCCCATATTTAAATAGTTTCCTCGCTGCCCTCTCCCCCCAGCCCCTGGCAACCAGTAATCTGCTTTCTGTCTCTGTGGAATTGCTCATTATGGATATTTCACATAAATGGAATCTTATAATATGTGGCCTTTAGAGTCTAGCTTCTTTCACTTAGCATGGTGTCTGTCCTTAAGGTTAATCCATGTTGTAACATGTGACAGGATTTCCTTCAATTTTAAGGCTATATGTAGGTACCACAACTTTTTTATCCATTCGTCAATGGACATTTGGGTGGCTTCCACTTCTTGGCTATTGTCAATAATGTTGCAGTAAACATGAGTGTGCAGGTGTCTCTTTCAGATTCTTTCAGTTCTTTGGGATATATACTCAGAAGTGGAATTGCTATATTATATGGTAATTCTATTTTTAATTTTTTTAGAACTTTCCCTGGTTTTTTCTTTTTTTTTTTTTTAGTAATCTGTACCCAACATGGGGTTCAAACTCATGACCCTAAGATCAAGAGTTTTATGCTCTTCCAGCTGAGCCAGCCAGGCGCCCCTCCATACTGTTCTTTCTTTCTTGCCTTTTTTAAAAGATGTATTTATTTATTTTTAGGGAGAGAGAGAAAGAGTGCATGAGAGAGCTGGGGGCAGGGGCAGAGAGAAAGAATCTTTCAAGCAGACTCCCTGCTGGGCAAGGAGCCCGACATGGGGCTTGATCCCATAAGCCATGAGATCACGACCTGAGCCAAAACTAAGAGTCGGACACTTAACCAACTGAGCCACCCAGGCGACCCTCCATACTGTTTTCTATAGTGTTTGCACCATTTTACATTCCCATCATCAGGGCACAATGGTTCCGGTGTCTCCAAATCCTCATCGACACCTGTTATTGTCTGTTTTGTTTGATAGTGGCCATCCTAATGGCTTTGCGGCATTATCTCATTATAGTTTTGATTTGCATTTCTCTAATGATAAGTGATGTTGAGCATGTTTTCATGTGCTTCTTGGCCATTTGTATACCTTCTTTGGAGAAATGTCTATTCAGGTCCTTTGCCAGTTTTTTAATAGGGTAGTTTTTCTGTTGTTGTTGAATTGTAGGAGTTCTTTATATATACTGGATAGTAACCTCTTATTAGATATATGATTTAGAAATATTTTCTCCTATTCTGAAGGTTGCCTTTTTACTGTTTTGATTGTTTCCTTTGATGCACAAAAGATTTTAAGCTTGATGTAGTCTCATTTGTCTATTTTTGCTTTTGTTACCTGGGCCTTTAGTGCCATATCCAAGAAATCATTGCCAAATGCAATGTCATGAAGTTTTCTCCCTGTGCTTTCTTCTAGGAACTTAACATTTTTAGGTCTTACATTTAGGTCTTTAATCCATTTTGAGTTAATTTTTGTATATGGTGTAAGGTAAGGGTACTGCCTCATTCTTTTGCATGTGGATACCCAATTTCTTCAGAACCGTTTGTTAAAGAGACTGTCCTTTACTCATTGTGTTGTCTTGGCACCGTATCAAAGATAATTTGACCATATGCATGGGGGTTTATTTCTGGGCTCTCTAATTCTGTTCCATTTGTCTATGTCTGCCTTTTTGCTGGTACCACACTATTTTGATTACTGTGGCTTTGCAGTATGTTTTGAAATCAGGAAGTGTGAGACCTCCAACTTTGTTTGCCCTTTTCAAGATTATTTTGGCTCTTGGGATCCCTTGAGGTTCATATGAGGGGACTAAAATATCTTGATGCTAAGACTATCTGTAAGATTTTTAGACCTATTTCTTTGGTTATCCAAAACAGTGACTACTAATGCTAAATAATTAAATTTAAAATACTCTGCCGGGGCGCCTGTTGGCTCAGTTGTTGGGCGTCTGCCTTTGGCTCAGGTCACGATCCCAGGACCTGGGATCGAGCCTCGCATTGGGCTCCCTGCTCGGCCAGGAGCCTGCTTCTCCCTCTCCCACTTCCCCTGCTTGTGTTCCCTCTCTAGCTGTCTCTCTCTGTCTCTGTCAAATAAATAAATAAAATCTTTTAAAAAAATAAATAAATAAAATACTCTGCCAGTCCGTGTCAGGGAACCATTAAGTTAATACAGAAGACCTCACTATTCTTGTTGCTATTTTGCAACTTTATAGGGAGTTTAAACAGAAGTCAGAAAATTATGACTGTCAGTACTATCTTTGGATGCCTACAACACAGTATATAATTAGGGATGGCTTAATTTAGATGAGTGTAAGAGGGCTCATATAATAAACAACACCATACTCTGCCATAAATCAACACAATCTGTGATAGAAAAGTGGAAAAAGTGGAAGTCTGGGGAGAGGATTGTTTTTAGTGGCATGTCCTTTTTCCACATTGCCCAAAAAGCAAGTAATGTGCCTTACTTTAATTCCTAAAACCAAATTTCCATTTGGGCATAGTTAAATGTTCCCAAATTCGTCTTCTCTTTCTACCAGGTTGGCTTTAATTTTCCATGTTCCAGTTTCCATGTAGTCTTTTGGTTGTCCTTCATAGGATGGCAGGCAGATGTTGCTAACTGTTGAGTAGGTCAACCACCAATTCACGGGTTGCCATCATAATGGCCATATTTGGAATCTATCTCAATAGAATTGTCAGACCACAGTGAAGAGACCCAAAACCTTCTTTCTGAACAACCAGACAGGGGCACCTGAGTGGCTCAGTCGGTTAAACGTCTTGTTTTGGCTCAGGTCATGATCCTAGGGTCCTGGGATCGAGCCCTGTATCGGGCTCCCTGCTCTGCAGGAAGCCTGCCTCTCCCTGTCCCTCTGTCTGCTGGTCCCCCCGCTTATATGCTCTCTGTCTCAAATAAATAAATAAAATCTTTTAAAAAAATTAAAAAAAACAACCAGACATGGTGTCTGAAAAAATATCTGTACTTTGTGTCCTCTTCATGTAGTTTTGTTCTTACAACTTCATGTGGACGCACTGTGGTTATAGTACAAGTTTTTGAGATGACAGCGGCATCATTCCCACAAAATCTGATATTTCTTTCATAGACCCGTCATCGTGTTTCATTGTCAAACTAACTTTTTATTCTAGTAGCTTTTGCTTAAAACTTTCACATGTAACCAAATGAATAATGTTCTGTGATATGCCACCATATGAAGCAGACCTGCTCCTATAAAATCCTCTTTGGTCATCTGTCTACTACACTTTTTTTTTTTTTAAAGATTTTACTTGTTTGTTTGTTTATTTATTATTTATCAGAGAGAGAGAGAGCTTGTGCACAAGCAGGGAGGGCAGCAGGCAGAGGAAGAAGCAGGCTCCCCGCTGAGCAGGGAGTCCGATGTGGGGCTCGATCCCAGGACCCCGAGATCATGACCTGAGCCGAAGGCAGACTCTTAACCATCTGAGCCACCCAGGTGTCCCTGTCTACTACACTTTATTTATTTATTTGTTTTTTAAGATTTTTATTTATTTTTTGACAGAGAGAGACAGAGAGGGAACACAACCTGGGGGAGTGGGAGAGGGAGAAGCAGGCCTCCTGCTGAGCAGGGAGCCCGATGCGGGGCCCGATCCCAGGACCCTGGGATCATGACCTGAGCCAAAGGCAGACGCTTAACGACTGAGCCACCCAGGCGCCCCTGTCTACTACACTTCATAAGCACATTCAGAAGCACCCATTTGCTTTCCCCATAGTTGCTTGCATTAAGCTGTAACCAATTCCAAATGGATTTGGTTGCTGTGATTACATAAAACAGGCCACTGCAACTGGAATCATGTAATAGGTAAAACCAGGATCAAATACACCATTTGACTTCTCCCTGCAGTTTGAATAGGCAGCAAAGAATGTTGCCCTGAAGAAGCCACCCCCATTAAGTTGGGGCCTAATTCTCTAAATAAGGAACAGGGCCCTTCTTTTTCCACCATCACATTTAGGCAATGGAAAGGTCCAGGGGAGACTGGTTTAGTAGACACCAGGTCTAAGCCATGGTATTCAGCTGAACTTCAGAGATAGAAGGCTTCACAGCAGAATGCCACAGCTGTGTTACTGTAACTCCCAGTGGACAGGTGAGACCAGCCTCCCTGTCCTACCACTTCCCCTGGCAAGCAGATACACTGTTGTATGCCTCTGGCCAGATGAAGATCCAGCTACCCTTCCCCATCATCTTTTAAAATCTGCTTTATTGAGGTATAATTTATATTCAATAAAATGCATGCATTTTAAGTACAGTATCTTGATGAGTATGGACAAATGTATACACTTGCATAACCATAACCACAGGCTAGAGAACATTTTCATCGCCCTGAAAAGTTCCCTTGTGCACTTTCTACACAGTTGCTCATTTACCCAGCCCCAGGCAACCAATGATTTTTTCTGTCCTCGAGATTATATGTGTTTTCTAGGGGTTCATAGAAACATTCATTTTTTTAAAAACATGGTTCAGAGGTGATTCTGATCCACACTAACATTTTAGAACTACTCTTACAACCTCCCTCTGACTACTCCATCTCAATTTATGGTATTTCCTCTGCCTCTCTTCTACTTACCCATTTTCAAATTGCCTAGCCACATTCAAGAGCTTATAGGTATACTCATGAGTTTAAGTTTCCTGGTTTTCACTATAGAAGTTCCTTTTTCTGAAAAAGGAAAAAACTTTTTTTTTTTTTTTTTTTCAGTACTGGAGTCCAGGTATGATACCAAGCTATCATCTCCAGAGCAGCACATTTATGAAATACAGATGCCACAGTGGGAGATAATGGAAAGCCTCACAAGTTATGGTCTTGAGTGTTCTAGGTTCCAAGATGATTGGGAATGCAGAAGCCAGTTTGACAGACAACGGGGAAATCCAGATGGACATTTGAGTCAAATGATAATCAGTCATGAAGAAATAGCCACTTTAAACCAACAAGCATCATTTCCTTTTTATCAGAAAACTCATCGTGGAGAAAAACCCTATGAATATAACGAATGTAGAAAAGACTTCTGGCAGGAGGACTTCCTTATTAATCATCAAGGAATTCATGCTAATGAGAAACCCTATAAATGTAAGGAATGTGGCAAGGCCTTTAAGTATGGCTCACGACTAATTCAACATGAGAATATTCATTCTGGCAAGAAACCCTATGAATGTAACGAATGTGGAAAGGCCTTCAATTCTGGTTCAAATTTCATACAACATCAGAGGGTTCATACTGGTGAGAAACCTTATGAATGTAAGGATTGTGCAAAGGCCTTTAGTCGAAGCTCACAGCTGATTGAACATCAACGAATTCATACTGGTGAGAAACCCTATCAATGTAAGGAATGTGGCAAGGCCTTCAATAGGATCTCACATCTTAAAGTACATTATAGAATTCATACTGGTGAAAAACCCTATGCATGCAAGGAATGTGGGAAGACCTTTAGTCATCGGTCTCAGTTGATTCAACATCAGACTATTCATACGGGCAAGAAACTCTATGAATGTAAGGAATGTGGGAAGGCCTTTAATCAAGGCTCAACTCTTATTAGACATCAGAGAATCCATACTGGTGAGAAACCCTATGAATGCAAGGCATGTGGGAAGGCCTTTAGAGTGAGCTCACAACTTAAGCAACATCAGAGAATTCACACTGGAGAGAAACCCTACCAATGTAGGGTTTGCGGTAGGGCTTTCAAACGGGTCTCACATCTTACTGTACATTATAGAATTCATACAGGTGAGAAACCATATGAATGTAAGGAATGTCGAAAGGCCTTCAGTCATTGCTCACAACTGATTCAGCATCAGGTAATTCATACTGAGGAAAAGTCTTGTAAATATAAGGAATGTGGGAGGACTTTACATCATGATTCAGCTACTGTTCAACACCAGAGAATGCATAATAAAGAAACACAAGTGAACATAATAAATGTAGAAAAGCCTTCCATTAGCACTTATCCTTTATTAATCATCAGAGAATTTATGTTAGCAAGCAACCATATCAATGGAAATAATGGGGAGAGCCCATTAGCTTAGGCTAGTCCCAACTTCTTATATTTTGCAGAAAGACTTGAAGAATGTAATGCAAATGGGAATGCCTTCATTCAAGCTATCCTTTATCCTGAGTCATAAGATTAATAATGAAAAATTTTACGGATATAAATTGTTTAGACCATAATTATTGAAGAAGCAAGGGAAGGTTGGAAAAAAAAATTTGTCTCTAACATATTACAGGATCACATTTTCTAACCACACTGTAATAATTTTAACAACAGCCAGAAATTTTAATTTTTTGGCACTTGAAAAAAAAAAACAGCCAAATTACTCTTGGGTTCAACTTTTTTTTTTTTTTTTTAAATAGGCACCACACCCAGTGTGGGCCTCAAACTCATGACCCTGATATCAAGAGTCATATGCTCTACCGACTAAGCCAGCCAGGTACCCCATTACTCTTAGGTTAATAAATAAATCATGCAAATTATCATGCATGGTAATGAAAGAATGACAATTGAGAGATTTGCATTCCAGGAGTTGTAGTATGTGGCTGAAGTTACTCAGAAGAATTTTTATGGCTTTTAAATGCATGCAAAGCATGAAAACTTGAAAGATTATTCTCAAATATATTAAATGTACTATTCAAGAAGCCAGAAAAGACAATACCAAACACTGAGGTGATGAAAGAACAAATTGGTACAAAATTAAAAGAGAAAATAATGAAATTAGAAAGTGGTTATCTTACAATAATCTGTTTTTATTTCTTCCTGACCCAAGAATAAACAAAATTTAAGATAATTCTCAATTTCTATGTTGTTTTAGATTATCTTTCATCGCTTTTTTTTTTCTTTTTTTTTTATTCTTATGTTAATCCCCATACATTACATCATTAGTTCTAGATGAAGTGTTCCATGATTCATTGTTCGTGCACAACACCCAGTGCTCCATGCAGAACGTGCCCTCCTCAATACCCACCACCAGGCCAACCCATCCTCCCACCCCCCTCCCCTCTAGAACCCTCAGTTTGTTTTTCAGAGTCCATCTTCTCTCATGGTTCGTCCACCCCTCCGATTTCCCCGCTTCATTCCTCCCCTCCCGCTACCTTCTTCTTCTTCTTTATCTTTCATCACTTTTGTCACAAACAGAAGGGGCCGGTTGCCTACATAGTGGCCATACCCGATCCCCTTCCTACTGGCAGCATCTGTGTCTTGCCTTAGACTCTGAAGATACCAGATGCTAACTTTTCAGCGTTTTCTGCAGCTCAGGATGGCTCTCATGTTCCAGGGTAAGGCCAGTATGTTCCAGGGATCTGTAGGGGCTTCTGGGACAGATTTTCCTCATTCAGAAGAGACAGATCTATCAGGAAGACTCCATCATCTCCTCTCATCTGCTTTTAAACATTCTCCTATGAGAACATAATGCCTGGAACTGCTGTAGCCATGTTGGAACCAAAAGGAGAAAACCGAGGACCTCGGAGAAGCTGACCCAGAGTTACCAGGCCAATTCTGGAACTGTCTCCGTGAAGCCTTGTTATGTAAAAAAAAAAAAATAAACCTTTATTGCTGAAATTACTTTTAGTTGGATATTTTGTAAACTTGTAGCCAAAACCATCCTAAATTATGTAACTTCAAATTTTATTTTACTACGACTGGTAAATGTGGCCTGAAGATACCTACTTTTTTGAATTCATTTCTCTTCGTAGCTAAATACAGGATTGATTTTTGTATATATTCTGTAACATTGGAAAAGAATATATATTCTACTTTTCTTGGGTATAAGATTCTGTTTAAGCCAGTGGATTATAATGATAAAATTCTCCAGGTTCTTAAACAATTTGGTACACTGGATCAGAATTTCCTAAAATGAATTTTTTAAACCAAAATCTTGAGTTTTCAGAGATTTTTACTTTTTAATTAATGTTGCTTGATTTATAAAGACCTACAACATAACCTCTATTGATGAATCATTATTTTTATCATTATATAGTATCCTGTTCGGCTAAGTGTAGGGGTTGACAAACCAAATCTGGCCTGCTGCCTGCTTTATAAATAAAGCTTTATTGGAACACAGCCATGCTCATTTATTTACATATTGTCTACTGCTTTTGCACTGCAACAGCAGAACTCAGTGGTTGCAATAAAGACTATAGCCACAAATCCTATACTGACTGACTCTTTAGATAAAAGTTTGCCAACCCTGGCCTAGTGTAATCCTTTTGGCATTTTATTTCCATACTGGGTAACACTACTACTAATGATTTGTCTTTGTTTACCTGGTATATTTTTGCTCATTCCTTTATTTTCAACCCCTGTCATTTCAGTTGTTTCTTGAAACAGAAAAAAAAAAACAGCTGATTTTTTTTTTTTTAAGATTTTATTTATTTATTTGAGAGAGAGAATGAGATAGAGACAGAGAGAGCATGAGAGGGGGGTGGGTCAGAGGGAGAAGCAGACTCCCTGCTGAACAGGGAGCCCGATGTGGGACTCGATCCCGGGACTCCAGGATCATGACCTGAGCTGAAGGCAGTCACTTAACCAACTGAGCCACTCAGGCACCCAAAACAGAGCTGATTCTTAATTCAACTTTATTCTTTTCATTTTACATTGTATGTCCTATTTGTGTTATTTTGGTCTTTTCCTTTCCTTATGTTGGCTGATCATTTCCCCTTTTGCTAAATTGGAACTTCCCACTGTGTTTAGGGTAGTGGTTATCTCCACATTCCTTATCATTTGGGCAGAATGAAAGCAGTATTATACTTCTATACCCACCATTAATTTACTTTGCCACTCTCCTCCAAGAAGAGACCACTCTTGCTTTCTTGTTCCTTTCCTTCACAGCTTGTTCTTTCGCATTTCCTCCATTTCACTAACGTAATATAAACTTAATCCAAAGCTTTTAGTTTTGCTTTTATTTCATTTATGATGCTTAAATTACTTACTGCCAGACCCACTCATGATTTCCATTTAAATTTAAATATACTCAGGTAGGGGTGCCTGGGTGGCTTAGTAGGTTAAGCGTCTGTCTTCGGCTCAGATCATGATCTCAGGGTCCTGGGGTCAAGCTCTGGATCAGCTTCCCTGCTCAGCAAGGGAGTCTGCTTCTCCCTCTCCCTCTGTGCTCGCTTGCTCTCTCTCTCAAATAAAATCTTTAAAAAATTTTTTTTAAATATACTCAGGGAAAGTAACATTCATTGTTGGCTGCTGATTCTTTTCATCTTTTTTTTTCTCTGTCTTGTGGTAACAGTTTTATTTCAAATGCTATTTGGTTAGACTTTTATTGAGTAGTTCTCTTTCTCAACAAATGGAATATACTGGTATTCTCTGAATCCTTATGTGTCCAGAAAAGTTTCTAAGATCCTCACAAATTATACTTCCGTTTGGTAGAACATTCTCGGATTATAGTTTTTTCTCAGTAATCTGATTTTTCTTACCTCATGTAGATGTATTTGTAACAAATTAACAAAAACTTAGTGGCTTAAAACAACACATTTATTGTTGGGATGTCAAAAGTCTGAAATAGGTCTCACTGGGCCAAATCAAGGTGTTGATGGGGATGTGTTCTCTTGTGGAGGCTCTGTGAAAGAAACCACTTTTTTGGCTTCTAGAGGCTGCCTGTATTCTTGGTGTGGCCCCTTTCCATCCTCAATGGCAGCAATAGCTTCTTGAGTCTTTCTCACATTGCATCATTCTGACACTGATTCTTTGGCCTCGCTCTTTCACCTTTAAGGATCCTTGTGATTATGATGGCTCCTGTGGACAATCCAGGATAATCTTGTCTTAAATTCAGCTGATTAACAATCTTAAGTCTATCTGCAACTTAATTCCCCCTTGCTACTAACATAACAGGTTTCTGGGATTAGGATAGAGACATCTTTGGAGGGCTATAATTCTGCCTACCACAGTAACTGCTTCTGTCCTGGCTTTTGGCAAGAGTTTCTAGCCTTAGAATTCAGGAACTTAAGTAGGATATGCTTAGATAGTCTCATGTCCTTTTTTTAGCCCAAGGAAATTTTCTTCCAAATATTAATTAGGACTTCTCAATTGTTCTATTTTATTCTTATTTTAAAACTTAAAAAAAAATATTTTATGTATGTATGTATTTGAGAGAGCGAGCCCACACACAGAGCAAGAGCAGGGGGAGGAGCAGAGGGAGAGGGAGGGGAAAGACACGGGGCTCAATCTCACGACCCTGAGATCATGACCTGAGCTGAAGCAGACGCTTAATCGACTGAGCCACCCAGGCATCCCAAGAATTAAAATTATAATCATGCAGGGCATGTAACATGGGAGGAGCAGAATTTGGGGGTGAGGGACATTTTAGAAATCTGTCCAAGATGCTCAGTATTTTCATGAACACCGGAAGGCTGGCATGAGATAAGGGAGGAAGAGAATTGCAACCTGTCTTTCTGGGAGGCAAGCCTGACCTCTCATGTTTTCTCTTCCCTCCTTGGCTGCCTTCTCAGGACTCACCCTTCCCCAGGAGAGGAACATGGAGGACTCATTGGTCCTTGCTATTCTGAAAGCCATGGCCTAGGTAAGTCATGCTTTCTTTCTCCTTCCTCAAACTGTGCTCATTTTATATAAATGTAGGAAAAATTTGGGGGGACTTCCTAAGTCCAGTGAAACATGAAAGACTCCTATGTGAAATATGGTTTAATGGACTAATCAGTGTTTAAAGGAACCACACATAATAATGCTTTAATGGTAATCTACAGAACAGGGTTTCCCAGTTGGGAGAGATGGGCAGTGGTGGTGGTTGGTCTCTGCTGTGATCTGAATATGTTCTTCCAATTCATATGTGATGGTATTTGGAGGTGGGACCTTTACTAAGTGATTAGGTCAGGATGAATGGGATTAGTGTCCCTACAAAAGAGTCTCTAGAGAGATCCCTTACCTAACTCTTCCACTATGTGAGGATGTAATGTCAAGTTGGCCATCTGCAACCTGTGAGAGGGCCCTCACCAGAGCCCAGTCATGCTGCCACCCTGATCTTGGACTTCAGCCTCCAGAACCATGAAAAACAAACTCCGATTGTAAATAAGCCACCCAGACTGGTACTTAGACTCTGAAGATACCAGATGCTAACTTTGGTACTTTGTTACAGCAGCCAGAATGGACTAAGACAGAAGGTCTCAGCCTCAGATTGTAGTAACATTGGGGGTGGCATTGGGAATTTGGTTATAGAATCTGAGACATTGCCCAGCAGTCCCTCCAGATGGATGCCTGACCCAAGGTCATATTTGATGTTGAGCCACAAGTGTGGGTAGTGGGCCACATCTGTGTGAGCCTGGATTACTCCCCACCCGCCATTAGCATTCTATTGCTTGGGAACAAGGAAAGAGCACACTTAGGGATGGGCTAGGTGAGACTAGCCAGAGTGCATGAGGTATTGAAAATCATAAATCAGCAGAGCTAGGAATGTCCCTAAAGATATCTTGTTCAACCTCAAGTGCCCCAAAGTGAAAGGTTGAGTCACTTAGTGCAATGTCATGGGAGAGTGTGCAGCTAATAAAAATAAATCTGATTAAAGAAGCTGACCTAGTAAGGAGAGGTAACATTAAGACAGTGATGAACCTGACTCTTCAATATATTTTAAAAGAATACACAACTCTCATAATTCCTAACAGAGACTCTGTTAACCATTTTGCAATGATTCCATGAAAAAAAATGTTTCTCTAGCTCAGGATTTCTCAAGCTCAGTACTAATGATATTTAAGGCTTATATTCTTAGTTGTGCTGTCTCATACATTGGTGAATGGTCAGCAGCATCTCTGGCCTCTACCACTTGGTGCTGGTAGCATTTCCTGTCCCAGTGGTGCTAACCAGAATGTCTGCAGATGCTGCCAACTGTCTTCCGGGGGTGCAGAATTGCCCCGGAGAACCATTTCTCTCATTTGAATTTTCTTGAAACATTATGAAAGCATTCAAACACTTAAAAAATATAGCAATGTTTCCATATTCACTGCCTAATTTCTGAACAGAAGGAAGAAAGACAATTCAGACATATTAAGAAGTTGTGCATTGACCTTCTACAGTTAAATTTATTGGAAAACCATGGAACTTGAATTCTTTTTGTTCTTCGAAGTATCTTTTGATGGACCTATCTCCCTTTATGAAGGAAGTTGTGCTGCTCTCAAGAGAAGTACAGACCCTTCCCTTGAATTGCCACAATTTCCTTAATGTGCTCGCTGGCTTCAGCTCGGCAATGTCCTTCTCATCCTTCTATTTTTCTAGTCATAAATATTTATTTCAATGGCACACATTATCATTTTGTTGTTTCAAGGGTCGGTGATGTTTAGGGATGTGGCGATAGTCATCTCAGGTTGAGTGGGGCAGGCTGGAACTTGCTAGGATCTGTGCAGAGATGGAATGCTGGAGAACTTAAGCAACTTCATCTCTAGGTAAGGTGTTAATACCCCTGGGGGCGCCTGGGTGGCTCAGTCGTTAAGTGTCTGCCTTCAGCTCAGGTCATGATCCCAGGGTCCTGGGATCGAGCCCCACATCCGGCTCCCTGCTCAGCGGGAAGCCTGCTTCTCCCTCTGCCTCTGCCGCTCCCCCCGCTTGTGATCTCTCGCTCTCTGTGCCAAATAAATAAATAAAATATTAAAAAAAAAAAAGATGTTAATACCCCTGGAAGGTTGAAATTTGTCCACTGGAACATCTGCTGCCTTTGGTGTGAATTTCTGAGGTGCCTTTCAAGACTCTGGTTGAGTTTCTGCTCTGCTCTCAATGAGATTGTACAGAATGGGGATGGATAATTCTATAGGATAATACCTAAAAAAGCTTCTTCCCCAGTCCAAAAATGACTTCCTCCTCTTCTCTGGCCTTTTCTAATTTCTTCTCTTCATTGATAACCAGGAACTGGATATGAATTCTGAGACACCCCCTTTGTGACTCTGCTGCATTTCTTCTTGGGTACACAGGTTTTTCTATATCCAAGCCAAATGTGATCTCCTTACTGGAACAAGGGAAGGAACCCTGGTTGGCAGAGAGATGTGACAGGAAGCCTGGGCCAGGTGAGTGAAGGATGATTAAGGAGGGCAGTGGCACTGTAGGTGATGGCCCAGGTCAGCAGGATGGAGCACCTTTGAGACAATGACTAGAAGGGTCCCGTCAGAGAGCCTAGTGTTCAGAACAGAGCATTACTCCTATCAGTGCGAGCTCTGGGGGGGCCTCTCTTGTACTCCCACACACCACTCCCTGTGCCTGTCTCCATTCAAAGAGGAAGGTGCTTTCTTTGAAGTACAACTTTACCTTTCCAGAGAACATTATTTCTTCCCAGTTTCTCCCCCATTCTTTTTTTAATAGTTGGGTCATTATTTCCATCCAAAAGCATGTTTCCAAAAATAGTTTATTTTGGTTACAGCACAATCATTTTTTCCTTTGACATGTTTTTCCAGATTCAGATTTTGTACATTCTTTCTTTCACTCTTTCCCTTTTTAGAGAGGGAGGGGAAGAGGCAGAGGGAGAGAGAATCTTAAGCAGGCTCCACACCCAGGGTGGAGCCTGACACAGGGCTTGATCTCACAACCCTGAGATCATGACCTGAGCCAAAATCAAGATTTGGACGCTTAACCAACTGAGCCACCCAGCCGCCCCACTCTTTTCTTAATAAACATTTTCTCATTTTCCAGTTTGAGTAAGACTCTGTATTAACCTGGGCCCTAAATTTGCTTCTGATGCATCCTCAGATGTAGGATTATGCCAGCCTATAATTTCTGCTGTCAAACATTTCTTAAGCATTTTTAAAAATTCTATATAGTCAAATTTTTTATGATTATTATCATAATTCTGATCATGATTTTTTTCATTCTTGTATGCAGGCTGCAGAACACTTTGTGTAGACGTACCATAGTTTATTGAACCACTCTCCTATATGTGGGTGTTTAGACTGTTTTCAGTATTTTAAAATTATGATCATGCTGTAATGAATAGTCTTATGCATATATATTTTCATGTTGTTGGACGTATATCATCAGGGTAGATTCCTAAATGTGGGATTTTGTAGGCAAGACTCATGCTTTTTAAATATCATACTAGGAAATTGCCTAACAAGTATGCCCAAGGGCTGTTTCACTTTCTAGAGGATTTGTACCTTTGTCTTACTGTTTACTATTGATTAGGACGTAGACTCATGCAGTTAGCTTGTTAACATGGACATTGCTGGCCAGCAGAAAAAATAACCCCAAATGCTATGATTTTCACACTCTGTATGACATTAACCAGTTTTTGATGTATTAGCAAGCTCTTTTCAGCATTTGTTTGTGTTTGTCTCTGTATTCATTTATTGACTTCTTCTTTGAAGCAGCTTTGCCATCATGCTGGTTCCTTATTAAATAGGAGTTAAATAATTCTGACAAACCTTATGAATGCAAGCAATATGCGAAGGCTTTCCACCACTGTTCTGATCTTCCTCAACATCATAGAATTCACACTGGGAAAGACCCTGTGAATATAAAGAATGTGGAAAGGCCTTTAGTCCTGTTTCACTCTTTACCCAACATCAGAGAATTCATACTGGTGAGAAAACCTACGAATGTAAGGATTGTTTAAAAAAAACAACAACAAAACTGTATTTGGCTCTCAAAACTTAATGTACATCATAGAGCTCATACTGGGGGAAATTCTATCAATATACTGAATGTGCAAAAGCTTTTAGTCACTTCTCACTAATTATTCAACATGAGAGAATTCATACTGGAGAAAAACCCTGGCTGTAAGGAATACAGAAAGGCCTTTAGTGGTATCACACAACTTAATGAACATCAAAGTATCCATACCAGTGAGAAGTCATATAAATGTAATGAATGTGGAAAGACCTCTAGTCATCATTCATATCTACCTCAAATCAGAGGATCCATACTGGTGAGACACCTTATAAATATAAGGTTTGTAGGAAGGCCTGTATGCAGGGCTCACAACTTTATCATCACCAGAGAACTCAGACTAGTGAGAAACCATACAAATGTAATGAAAACTTTCAGCTGGATTTCACAATTTAATGAATATATTAGCAACTATACTGATGAGAACCTGTATCAATGTACTGAATGTGGAAAAGCTTTTAGTCACTTAACACTAGTTATTCAATGTCAGAAAATTCATACTGGTGAAAAGCCCTATTATGTAAGGAATGTGGGAAAGCCTTTAGTCAGTGTTCACAACTTAGTCAGCATCATTCTTTATGTATGTAGAATGTGGGAAGGCTTTCAGATACTGTCATCTTCCTTAACCTTAAGGAATTCATGCTAGAGAAAATTCCTATAAATAAGTGAAGGGAAGACTTCACTGGTTTTGTTCCTCATGGAACATCAAATAATTCATGATTATGTATAACCTTGTCCAATATGGAAATGCTTTTTGGTTCAACTCATGTTACATTTATCAGCGGATTCACATCATCACATTCATCACTAAATGCCGTATTAAAATGGTAATGTAAAAAAGTCCCCCAATACCACCTATCAATTATTATTCATTGCAAAATTCATGCTGGCAAGCAACCATGTAAGTGGAGAAATTTTGGAAACCATTTACCTTAAGCTAACCCTAACTTACATAAAAGGATCATATGAGAAAGTAACCCTTTAAATGCCATATATGTGGGAATTTCTTTAGGCATAAGGCTCTTTATTTTTAGAGATTTTATTTATTTATTTATTTATATATTTTTAAAAGATTTTATTTATCTATTTGACAGAGAGAGAGAGACAGCTAGAGGGGGAACACAAGC